GTTCTGTGCTTTATGCATTGTGCATTTAATATAGATATACAAAGCACTCAACGTGTTGAATTATACAACAGAATTATTAAAAATCACATAAACAAAACTTCTTCTCTTATGGAACTCAAATCTGTAATTGAAAGGCTATTGATGAAAGAAAGCTAGTTTATTAAGTTGAATAAGGTTATGAGTAAGCTTCCTGTAAGTCAAGATGAGGATTATCATGACTATTACTTCAAAAGTATCAATATATCCTGTCAATGTTATTTAATACTAGCAATCCTTAAGCTGCAATATCATGAGATGAACTGCAGCATGCATTACCGATGTCAGATAACTAGTTTAGAGAATGAGCTTGGAAAACAGGTATGAGTTTCTTGATTATTTATTTATTAAGCCTTTTTCTTTGTTCTTCCTGCTAAAGATTATTTTTTGATCCTTGATAGGTTATATCGGATTTACCAGAAGGCATGTTTTCAGAGAATTTGTTCGATACCTGTGTAATCAAACTTGACCAATTGATTATAGATCTTGATCTGGCAAGAATTCATTAACTTTAACGTGTACCCTCTATTAATAAAAGAAGTGAATATTTCATAGTGTTGTATGATAATGCAGCACATCTTTGTATGTGCCTAACATTAATCAATTGTGGTCTTGTATGCCACCATTTTTTTGCGGTAATATTGGTTTTCCTGGCCACTAGATTTCATATTGGACTTGTATCATAATGTTGATATATGGATTCATCAGTTATGGATAGAAATTTAAGTTTTTATCATGAGCTAGCTATTTCAGCAATTTCAGATCAGGAATTTGATATAGTCAAGCATGCTACTAAAGTTGATTTTTCACATCTAGATACTATTTGGGGCAACTATATCTTTACTAAAGAGGTTTGTGAAGAGATGACTCAAAAGTAATAATATGGAAGAGAATTTGGAATCATGAAGAAAACACTTAATTTGGCCATTGTAACAGGAAGAATAGAGAAGCTTTACAAAATTCATTTAAAGTTAGTCAAGAAAATAGAGACTGAAATTGTTAGTCAAGTTAAGAATGGCAATGATATTATTGAGTTTACTTTTACTATTAATAACCCCATCAGTATCAAGATGAAAGGTCAGAAGCCTAAAGATTTTGATCATATGAATGCAAATCATAAAGGCAAAAAAAGAGAGACATTTGAACCTGATCAAAATGACAAAGAAAATATTATCAATGATGAAAGTTATGAGGAATTGCCACATAAAAAGCTTTGAAAAATATTGCAAGATAATAGGTCAAATGAATTAACAAATGGTGAATTTAGTAATAAGAGAATGTGCGGAATTTGTAACAAAAAAGAAAATAATGTACAAACGTGTCTAGCAAAAGAGAAGATCACTGCCAATTAATTTCAAGATCAGTAAGAAGGTTGGAAAAGGTCATTTTTTATTCAAAAAATTTTATTTTTTAAAGGCAAAAACAAAAGATCAAAGGTTTACAATAAAGATGTATATATAGTATTGTATAACTGATTAATACACTTATAGTATGATACATGTATAATGTAAATTACATTACAATTACAAAATCATGTGCCAATTTTATTAAATTATGTGCTTTATTTTTATTGGTTGATAATCACTAGTGTTGAGCACCACTGGTGTAATATAATAATGTCATTTAAAAATTAGAGTATATAATGAACTAGCTTATATATAAGATAATTTTAATATTTAAAATATTATATTTTAGATATATTAGTATTTTTTATCTTAATTAATTAACTAATTATAATACTATGAATAAGAATATATTAATTACAATAAGAATAAACTTGAATTCTAATGATATATAGTCTAAAATATATAATAGCTAATATATCAACAAATATAAAGAGAGTTATATATAATCAATAATATTTTCAGATAATTATCTAGTAATAAGATTAAGAAATCAATCAAAAGATATAAAGCAAGTACTTAGAGAATATAATTTTTGATCAAAATAAGAAGTTTATTTGATATATAAATAATATTCTAGAAAATATAATGATAATTCTAAAAGAATAAACTGTTATATATAATAAATAATATTGTAATAGCTTGATTTTTGTAAATAATTATTAATATTAGAAAAGATAATTATTAAAGCAGAACATATTTTACAAAGTTTCATTGTGAGTGCAATTTTATAGAATGGTACTGGAATTTTGTAAAATAAGATTATGCAATTATAATTATGTAAACTTATTAAAACAAGTTCTAGAAGCTCTCTCTATAATTCTAGTAATAATTATTTGCAAATTTACATATGTTATGAAGATATATAGATATATATAATAAAGAGTTAGAGAGCAAAACTGCCAAGTAAATTATCAATAAATTTAAATCATATTATCATTTGCCTGAAATGATTAAGAATAATAGAGAAAAGAGAAAGTGAGAATAAAGATGAAAATTGAATTATGTATCTATTTTCTATGTTATTACGTGCTTAAATTTTATTGGTTGGCATAATAATGATTGAATATAAAGTCATGTGATTTTCTTGCAAAGTATCATAAATCGACTTTTTCATCCAATCTAAATTTTAGGTCAAAAATTTTGAAAATTGAAACAAAATCACGTGATTGTCAAGTATAGAGTTCCGGCACCATACGTAAAGCAATTGATATTTGCTGTAGATCGATCATGAATGCACTTTGAATACTTTGAATCTAGAATTTAAATGAAAAATATATTTCTTTGAATATAATTCAAGAAAACAAAATATTTTTCTGAGATAGTTTCATGCGTTTGCACTCGTGTAAATATCTTGTCTGTAAGCCCGATAACAGCGGATTCTGCTGAAACAAAGCTATAAAAAAACACAAAACATAATATTCGAGATAAAAATTATTCCACAGTCCCAAATTCTCGATTTAAAATATATTCTCACCGTCTTATATGTGCCATAAACACATGACAGTTTTTGGATCTTCATTATGATGATCCTGTACCATTGAAAATGCTGACGCAGTAAAAGATTCAATTGCATGATTTGCTGGGAAAGTTGAATCTTCACACTCTTTGTCTTCTGGTTTGATTATTCCTTTACCACCCACTAAATCGTGTCATTCGCAACAAATACATCAACACAAAGTTCTTGAAGTGGATGTCTTAATTGAGTGATTAATTTGATAAATTAATAAAAACTTGAATTGGATGCTCATTAGATAATTACCTTCCTTTTAAAATTTTCAATATATTTTCTTCGGTCATCTGCGGTCTTAAATATTAGCAAACTCAGCCAAAGAAAGAAGATTAATTATAGTTTAATTATTGATTTAATGCTAATATAGATTATCTTTACCAAACAAGTTCCGCGCAAACTACTGTCGACGCTAATAGTGACGCTGTATTCTCACTGGCTCGTTCTTAAAGTCGTTGCATGATTTCTATTTCGCGGTCTGGACGGAAAAACTTTTATAATTAATTGTTAAACATATTAAAATTTGACAATATCAAATACAAACTAACTACTAATCCATGAATATCTCCGAGATATCAAATTCTGAAATTTTTTGAATTCAAATAATCATTTAAATATTCTCATTTATTTATTCCATTTACCACGCATTCGATCAATCTTGTAATATACTGTTGTCATTGTGCTAAACTAAAAACAAAAAATCGATTAAGATCTGTTTTTATTGATGGGCATATTAATTAAATTACTCCACCTGATAATACAATCTTTAAATCTGGAAGTCTTCTTCCTCTTTCCATTCAGGTTTCAACAGAACGGTAATCAAAATACCCGAGCTGAGGAAAGTAAATGTCATTCAATGTGGATGCGAAGTTTGTTGTAGCAATTCCTCGTGCGACTTCAGATTTTATAGAAGAAAAAAATATCAAATTTACATTCATTTACTGAAATAAATATCAAAAATGATTTACCAAGAAATCATCTAATCTATTGTAAACTCTTCATTTCATCGAGTTCCTAATATTTAATTTAACCACAACGCGATTCTCGCCAAAATCAATCTACAAAAGTTGTAACGAGAAATCCACATTATTTATAACTGAGCCAAGATCTTTCAACTCGGTAACAACGAGAATTTCTCTTATCTAATATATAATATACTAAATGCAAAATGATCAAAAAATGCAATGAAAAATTGAAATTCGATACTTTGTTGAATATTTGTATATAAAACATAAAAATAATAGTTACTTGCAACAATGACTGCCACTCTGCAATATTCAACTTCCCTTTCATGCTCTCCAGTATTTTTGGGATCTTCTTGACATGCTTCAAGCAACTAGCCAAATGCTCGGAAATATGAAGATTATCCGGCTGTAAAACGATCAATGGTACGAAATCTCTCCTCGAAGATATTTAAGTCAAGGCTTGGTCGAAGAAACCATTGTTTAAAGAGTTGTTTGCCGACTGGTGTTCTTGTTCTATTGAGCACTCCTGAGTTATCATCGTTTCAATAAAAATTAAAGTTATTGTGGCTCATTGTGATAGTCTGTTTGCTTTTATAGGTTTATGTTGTGGTTTACCGAAAATAGACAACCCTTCTTTTGCTCGAGATCGTAAATGCATATTTGGATGAGATTTGTCCTCGAAGATTTTGAGTGAATTAAATCTTTCAAGTTTCATTAATATCGAACAAATGTAAATTTGCGAGAAATCAATTAATAAGAATACCAAAGAGTATCCGCGTTGACAGCAGAAATGTTTTCCTATAAAGTTTAAAGTTAAAAGAAAGACAAACCAGTTTATAAAGTATCACTGTGCATAACTTATAACGAGAATTGCTCAATAGACAGTATTTTGAGGTCTTGTTCTTGCTGATGCAATAATTTATCTGTGACTTTTGCTCTTGCAATTTAGCTAAGCAATGCACCTACGCAACAGACCTGAAACGGTTCACAAAATCAATATTAAACAAAGTATAAAATATAGCGAATTAAAACTAAAACATATTGCCTCAACACTATCCATATCCATATCAATAATACTCGAAAGCTTCAAATACATGTCTTTTTTTGTAGTGCTGATTTGTACTGAGTTAAATCCGTGAGCCCGCCAAACTTTATCGATAAAAGTTTTGTTTTTGTTGATGCCCATACGAATTCAACATTTGGGCGAATCTCGACAGTAGATTCTAGGGAATTTGATTCATCTTTCGTATTTATATTTACATAAAGTATTGATAAATAGAATTCTTAACGTAGACAATAAACAATTTGGTTCTACCGGTGGTTTTTAATGCTTCTATAAAGTCTTCGTCCGCACGTGAACTTTGTGAGAATAATCGACGGGGAGATTTGAAATCGCACTTTATCCAAAATATTAAATAATTAAATATCTATGTGGATTGAATAAAAAATATATACTGTACATGTACATGTGCTTGCATAAATCAAGTAAATCATAAGGAGTGTTATTTTTTCCATATCTTCCATTACAAGTAGCCATGTTATAATATGCACAACCCCAATTTTCGGTTTCTAAAATTGACAGCCATTATTACCTAATAATTAATAATTAATAATTAAATGAGGATATATAAATATGAAAAAATAAACTTAATCAAATAAAACTTGCTTTATCAATTAAACTATTTACTTCACGATCTAATGTATAATGTTCAGTAGTGGTTTCTTCTTCATTTCCAACTCTTGACGTTACAGTTGTCTGACATCGTTGATGAATCTACATCATTAACAACGTTTTCGTCGTCCTCAATGTTAGAAAATGTGATTCTTCTTTCTTCGCTTTCAACTGCATCATTATTTTCCCTTCTCGAATTATATATAGTTACATTTTTACGAAGTTGAAATACTTGAATGACGTTCTATTGTGTTTTTTAGGATCGTTTGCAATTAATGATGCTGAATTATTGCTATTTATATTGGAATTTGTAGCTATAATTACATGAAAGTTCTCGTCATCAATATTATTGTCATCTTGTTTTGACTGCATTCCATTTTGAACATTTTCTTGAATATTTTTTGTGCCGGTAAAATATATGTGAGCATGGAAGTCTCAGAACTTTGTTCCATTCTTTGCCTTAGAAGTTCTGATGGTGTTTTAATTTTTTTAAATGAATATATAAATTTTGTTCGCTCTATACACAACAAAACTCCACGTAGTACTATAAATTTCTTGCTACCTATGAAATCAGAAACATATCAAGAAATCAGGATTTTAGAAACATCCAGGGATTTTGGGCATGTGGAATGGTTAGACGTTCGGGATTTTGGGCGGTACCCCTTAACAATACCTGTATTTTGACTAGTCCTTTATAATTTTGTCTTTAAATCGTCAATTTCTTCTTCTAAAGCCTCTCCGGTCTGTTTTCGGATAACTTGAGGACATCTATGATATAGTCCTTCAAGCCGCTTTTGCTCGCCAACATCGTATTTTGCGGAATATAAGCAACATCCCTATATTGATCTTTTACCCTATTGTTAATTTTTAATGTTAAATTTTAAATTTTTTATCAATAACTTTCGATAACCAGTTAAAATTAATTTTTAACGAAACAGCTGAACAAACATTTGGTACTATTTTTTAAAGCTCAAAAAAAAGTTAAAAAACCAATACTAGTATGTTACTTGTATTTCGCAAAATACGGTATACATTATTATAATGGCTCAGAAAAAACCTACGTCAAAACCTTGCAATCATCCATCAATAACCACAATTATGATCATAAGATTCAAGTCAACCTTGAGCACGTACTGCTTTACCCGATGTTTTATCCAACGTTTGACTACAGGACCATCTGCTCTGAGATACGGGGAAACGTCAAAATGGAGTTTGATTTTTTACCACCTAACACTGGTCGAACAGGGAAATTTTCACCTTGGATAAAACCATACATAGAATTACTCATATCTTGTGATTTGATTGGTTTTCAGAAAGATGTACAAAAAAGTATTTCATTATTACATCATAGTGCCGCATCATCATAGTCAGGCTTAAATTATCGTAATGCTGATTTATCATCCCGATCATTTAATTGGCGGACCAAAGAATCCCACAATTTTGTAAGTTTGAT